CATGGCTAGGTAGTGTAAAGAATGAGGCACCACTTGTAGAGATGCATTCAAAAAGGCATTCGAAACGTTTCCTCCCACCCCAGTATCCTAACGGAGGCTCTCCTACAAAAGAAAACTCGGATGTGGCAAATAGTAAAAGGCATACGCCACCTCTACCTAATAAAAGTAATACATTGGAGAGAGTTCAAAGTAGTCATGAAGAGGAAGACTTGGCTCAAATCTCTCGTACAGATTCTGGTAATGGTCACGGAGAATCATTTGCATCAGGCTCTTCGTCAAATAGGTTTGGTGATTCACCTTCTATATCTGCATCCAGCAGCTCCCGATCACAATCTTGGTCCTCGTCTTGGTCTCAGGATGGTAGTAATAGCCACGGGAGCAATGTTATACAAGCAACAGCATGGGGGATGGTAATTGTGACAGCAAGTTTAGGAGGTGAAATCAGAATTTATCAAAATTTTGGGCTACCACTGAAAGCTGGACGTCAAACGAATCTCTTTAGAGACCTGACATAATTTTGTTGTTAGGAATCAAATCGATAATATTCTGTTCTCGCCTTCACATTTTTCTGTAATATTTAGTTGTTTAAGACTTAGACGAGCTCACGTTACACTGAACAAGGCTGAAGCCATCGGCTTCCCGTTGTTTGATAAGTAAATGCAGAAACAGGTAAGCTTATTTTTTCTTCTTAGTACACCATTTACATTAGAAAAGACCAAGTAGAGATCATAGTGTTCAATGTTCCAACAAATTGAGCATTTTAACTAGCATTGTGCAAAGCTTTGTTTTCATTACAAGCGTTACAAATATCGAATACATGAGAAATTTCATTGGCACAGGATGTAGACAGTTTATCCTAATGCAAAGATTGTTTCCTAGGCACAAACTCGTGACCTGTAAATCACACAGAGATAACTTTACCATTGCTCCGAGGCTCCTCTCCTGTAACAACAATAACTAGAGATGTTCAAAAACTATGACGTGCTATCAAAATGCAAACAAACTCTAAGATTCGTTGTGGTTTTAAGCACTTAGGTCAATGAGGAAATAAAGTGTGTTATAAACGAAGAAAGACACAACTAGAGAAAAATTATAATAACGTCAGAGAAAAATTTATTTAAATCTCGAAATCTGATAAATGTCATGTAAATCGAAACGACAAGTATAAGCTCTTTTAAATTTGAATTTAGGCACTAGGCGGTAAGGTTCCATTGATTCACATTTCCAAATCCGCAAAGTTGAGCACAAACTTCTGGAGAAAGCTTTACTTCTCTGAAGAAAAAAAAATGGATTCTCCGATCAATTACGCTATCGACGATAAGGATCTAGACGACGCTGCATTATGGGCGGTGATTGATTCCGCCGCCGCTGCCGCCTCCTCCACCACCGGCGTCACTAAGTACAGTAAACCGCTACCTGACAATCACTCTCCAATTAGGCCTTTTCCTAGCTCAAATACTTCTCCACAATCTAGGCTAGGCAAAACCCCCAGAAACTTCCAAAATCATCACCATAACGGAGAGGTACTTAATCACCGGCCGCAGAAAATGTCCAGGTCAGATTCTAACAGCGTTTCGGTACTGAGCAGGACGAGTCCGAATCCGATGGCGGTAGTTAAGCACGTGCAGAGAGATCCGTCTGTGATGAGTTATTCGTCGCCGGTGACGAGGTCTCCGGCTCGGGTGATGGAGTATGATAACAGGTATAACAGTCCGATAGTCTCGGAGTGTTCGCCGGTGGCTATGAGTCATGGACAGCGTGAGGATAGAGATGGTGTCGTTAGGCATAGCTTGGCTGGTCCATTTCCATCCGTTTCTCTGTTCAAGGAGTATCAAAATGCAGCGATGGCGGTAAATTGATCAATTTTCACTGTACTATGTCATATTTCCAGCATTAGATAGTACGTTTATCAATAGTTTAGCCAAATGTTAGGTATAAGTGTATCCAAATTGCTTAAGAGCTGCACAGCTAGAGTGTTTTGGCATGATAAATGATGCTTTTCCATCTGAAATTTAATATGAATTTGGTATATTACCTGTTGTTATGCGAACTCAATTTTTTGATTCACATAAAAATTGACGGTCCATACTAGCCTCTTTCTCAATGTAGATGTCAATTGTAACTTTGCTTTCTGTTCTTTGAGCTACTTTAGTGCACTTGAAGAGGAAGCTCTCCAAGTTATTGTGTCTACTCATTTGTAATCCTCAACTTCACCTAGTTTGCATTAAGGACGCGAGTAAGATGTATGCTATTCGTAGAATTGTAAGGTTTCGTTCCCATTTTCCCATTATTGCTATCTTGGTGACAGACTTGTCACTTGTCTAATTTCCTCATTGAACATTATGATTCTTTTGCCATCAGAAGAAATGTATCTCTCAATTTTGTAATGGTAATGGAAGTACTTCAGCCTCTTAAACAAACTTGGTTTGGTAGCAACTGAAGGAAAGATGATGAAGAGAAACTATGGATAATTACTAGGAATTGATGAGGAATCAGAATTTTGTGCTTAAATTGCATCAGCAAATCAGTGAGAAAAATCATTAAAAGTCCAGGCAAAACTTGACCATCTCTCGAAATCTGAGCAATGTCTGCACCTTTTGTAGAATAACTTGTTACAAGTCCCCTTCAAGATAAATAGAACTACACTACCAGTCAGTTTTTGTTAACGTTTTTAGCAATTACAGCTGTTGTTTTATCATGAATATTTTTTGTATACTTGAATGTGATTTCATCAGGGCTTAAGTAATTAAACATTTCACAGATTCTGGAGAAATCTGACTACACTATGATTTCTGGACATCCCTTCATAAAAAAAACTGGTATGTTAATAGACTTTGGTCATTGGTTTCTTCTACTCTCAGTTAAACTGCATGAACGAAATCAAATTTTTGTGCAGGTTGGAGGAAGATATCTTTTTACTTCAATCTATCATATGAAATTAAAGACAAGACCATTGAGTTTGATGACAACCGTAATGTCCTGCGCGCTGAATTTATAGTTCGGGCACACATGCAGTATGTTCTTTTGGTTCACCAACTATTCCTATCCAAATGTGTTGCTATGCTAGACTTTTTTTCATCTTATTCCATCTGTCCCTTTCTTTGTTTCATTGGTAGGGGTGGTAGGTTCTCAGATGGATGGGGATCATGTGAGCGGCGGGAGAAGAAGTTTCTAAAACCAAATCATGACATTCCCAGCACAGCAGAAACCAGAGCCAAAAATAAAGCATGCCAGGTACATATATTTCCTTCCATAGGAAACCATAAAAGATGAGTTACTTATCCTCGTTAAATTCAATTTGTTCATTCACTCTTGCTCATTGCTTAATCTGTTAGTGGAGTGTATTCATTAATGACTTTAGGCTTAATTGCCAGCCAATGCAGCTTGTGCCTTCTTATGTGACAAATTGTTCTTTGTGAGTAGGGTGTGTTGTTTCTTTTATATAAGGTGCATAGAGCAATTAAGAGTAATAAAACTGTTTTGAGGCACACTTGTGTTTTGGGCCCTCGTGATGCTATCTAGGCCGGATACTGTCATAGCTGTACTTGTATATGCAGATGGATGTACGTATATTCTTGCTCTTCAGTTGATTTTAATGTGCTAACCCCAGCACTATTTCTAGAGTCAGATTATCTCCTGTCTGGCTCATTTTTTCTGTAGTTCATCCTAACAAATATGAAATTCCTGCAACTATTTTATTCTGTACAAGTATTATTCAAATAACAAGCTACTGTGTCTCACATTAGTGTAGGAAATGAGTTGTTGCCTCCTTATTTTTACCTCTTGAACTAGTATTTGGGTTAATTAGGCTCAGGGTCCATCCTCAACATGACAAAAGAGCCTGGCCTATTCATGTTCTTGTAATCATATTGTCCACGCACCATATGTCCAATCTTGAGCATTGTTGGAAGGGGTTACTATGTGACCCATATTGGTGAAGGAAATGAGCCATTGTCTCCTTGTAAGGTCTTGAGTAATTCTCCCCTCATGAGCTAGTTTTTGGGATTTTGTTAAGCACAAAAATCCATTCATGAGTTTGACACTGAAATCCCCATAGGAAGAAGAATATGGTAGTCTTTTATCAGTGTTCTTTTCCACCAAACATACATGCATTTTGCTTATTGAAAATGCATGGTCCGTGGCATACTACTAACACCTGTTCTTGTTCTTGCCAGTCATCTCTTTTTGTACTATTCACTTTCTGCTGTCTGGATAATTTGTTCCTTTCTATAAGAATCAGTTCTCTACTATTGTAAATTAGTTTGTTAAGCAACCCAATTAAAAATTTACAGGACTTGCTTGGAATTGGAGAATATCGACCTGGTATGGGCCAGAGTAGTAATGGGTAAAACAATCCTACAGTAAGTACTCCATAACGTACTCTATATCTAAGTCATTTGCAGTTCCATTGACCAAGAGGAGAATTCACAGCCAAAATTGAGATTGGGTTATATTAAAAGTCATGGAATCAAGTATAGAAAGAAGTCGCGTATATACTGTAGTACACTCCCAGTGTGCTTGTAACATTAAAGCCAACCATGAACCTCGACTTGTAACATCTTTAGTAGTTCATCTAGTATCTTATCCTTCATTTTGACTCCTACATGTTACTTCAATTGTTTTGTTTATCTTCCTCGTTTTATGAGTTGAGTAAGGTCTTCCAAAGGTCTGCATATGTACATCCTACCCTCCCAAGAGTTGCGGGATTACATCGAATATGTTGTTGTTTTTTCTTTCCTTGATATGATACCTACTTTCAATCATGCTGGCCTGTGTGCAATAATACACCAGGCAGCAGCCTGGACTTCCAAATTTTATAACTACACTTTTCCATGTCTGATTTCTATGAAAATGACATTCTTATTTGGCATTATATACCATAAATTGACAGTTAGCTTGTCTTCATCAGAACCATACCTTCACCTTTTGATCCAAATTGTCACATTGTTTCTTTAGTGGCAATATGAAAATGGACAAAAAAGGTCCTTATGGGCTATGGCACTGTGGTAGAATAGTTTTTTAGATCTGACACACCGACACTTGCTCTTGTTAATTTAGACGTATATTTCGAGTATTGTGTATATTATATTATTGAGATGGTGACACTCCTATTAATGATCTCCGTTGACATCGCCGTACTTGAAGACTGTGATATATTTGCCCCATAGTAACTTCTTTTAAAATTGACTTTGGGCCTTTGTTCTTTTACTTATTTCTCGGAGTTAAACTCCGACATAAGAATTTAGTACTTTAGTTGATTGAGTATAGGTTTGATTTTTCCACATTATAATCAATCTCCTTTCTTTCGAAAAACAATTTAGTGAAATTCAACTCGAAGTTGAATTGTCAATCATGTAAAGTTTTGAAGAGTTGCAAAATAAATAGCTTATCAAAAGCATTCTACATTAAAAGCTTAGCCTATACTATAGAACAAAATAATTAATTAGGAAATACAGTGGCTAAAAGAAGTAAAGAATTAATTAGAACAAATTTATTTTATTTATTTTGCAACTCTTCGAAACTTTACATGATTGACAATTATTTTCTTGGATGCTTTACTTTGAACTACGTTAAAATTCTATTAAATTTTCTCACTTTAGTTAGTAACTGTGTCAACTTTGACTATGTGAGTTTAGCCAAGCATAATTAGTCTTAAATTAGGAGAAAAAGGACAAATAACTAGACCTTGACAGCAAATGTAAAGACTTTTTAGCTATGAATTATGATGACCCTGTATCCTTTACCAGCGACTGATGGGGTTCAACCAAAAAGCTTTGCAACTATGTATGGTTTATCATCATATAAATAAAATTCATCAAGGTGTGACCTAATAATTAACGAAATTGACACAAATAATGATTTCTTTTCAATATATTTTAAGCTTTAGCAAAAAAAATTAATCGACAATTATGCTATGAGGAGACAACAAGCACTTGATGAGAGAATTCAAATTTCATCTGTCCATGTTAATGAAATTTGAGATGTACCAAAAATCACAAATAATAGATATTTGAAAGGGAAAAAATTTAAGTTACACAAGGTTATCCATTAAAATAATAAATACTTACAAAATAGGGTAACTACGTTGTTCGATACTTGCATTGAAATCTTGATTTAATTTGAATCACGCTTATTTGAGGATGGCAATTCCAATAAAAAAAAAATTATACTTTAAGCTTGAACCCAATATCTCTGATTAAGAATGAAACAATCGTACTATCCAAACTTATTTTTCTTTGGAAGATGCTACTATTATTAATTCTAAGTGCCACCACATTCTTGTATAAATACTTTTCTTTTCTATCTTTTGTTGTTCATTCAGAGAAAGAAAGGATATAAACTAAACTTACGAAGTTGAGAATTAATTATTTTTCACTCTCATTATCCCCCCTAATTTTTAGTTAATCTTTAAATCCATCAATCAATCTCTCTTCAAATCAACAATCAAGGGAATCCATGGCTCAACAGGTATACTCCTTTTCTTCAATTTTTGTTCTATTCCATTACATATGGGTGGGAGGTGGGGTGGGGGATGAGAAGGAAATCAATTTCGAATCGAACTAACACCTATTATATAATGATTCTTATCGATGCTACTAGACTGTAAGTTCGTAATAGTGAGAATCGAACTTACATCTATTGTATAATGATTCTCATAGATACTACTAGACGTAAACTGACATTATGGGAATCGAAGTATATAAATGACTTTTACTGATGCTACTAGGCTATAAGTCGTAATGATATTCTTTTTCCCCCTCATTAACATCAAAATGAAGTAGCATATTTCTTCTTAGTGTATTTTTTTTTTTATTGATTGTGAGTTTTGATGATATGATGGATTGCAGGATGAAGGTTGGCCACTTGGGCTTCAACCATTAAATGTGAGAAATCATGGATCAATTTCTTTCAATACTTTGATTACTGCTTCTCCTTCTTCTTCTTCTCATTCTCATTCTTCTTCTGATCTTGATACTGAGGTTTGTACTCCTTTTTACTCCATTTTTCATCTGTCGTTTTTCGCTTTTCAAAAGTCAATTTTTGACTATTTTCTAATATTAAATTAGATTACTTTAATTCGATATTTGAAACAAAAAGAATTAGACATTCAAAAATTATACGAAAAAATATTTTCTTATGTCTATATTATTAAAACAATATATCGTAAAGTGTTAATCAAAATTTTTATAATTTGATTCTAAAAAAATCATAGACAATTAAAATAAACGGAGAGAATATAAAAGAATATTCTATATATAATAAAATTAGAAATAACTAAAACTGAACAAATATTGGTTAAAAAGAAAATAAACGGTGTCCGCGAAAACACTTTAGGTTTAGTATTTTGGTTTTATTTTTTTGACTCCAATTTAATATTTTTAATTATATGTGAAGGAATCTAATTATATTTTATGATACTCATTCACGCTTTTTTTTAAATAAAAAAATCTTTTCTTTTATAAAAGCATGAATGATTTTTTTTTCATGTTATATTCACAATGGGTCTTATCAAAAAGTGGAAAGTGAAATATAGCACTTTACTCTTTACACATGGCCTTACAATTATTATGTTTCTCAAAGTCTTTCAGAGTGTAACATTTTACACAAAATATTTTTTTTCTTATTTTCTCTCTCTATATATATATTTTGAGTGTATAATATATTGATAAATTTTTAAAATTAATCAGTAAATTTTATTTAAATATATAAATATTAATCTATTTTAATTGAATATTTAAACACAATAAAATATTTTAATTAGATGCTTTGGATTTATATTATTTTTAGAAAAAAGTTTATGCACATGTTCTCTAACATAAATATGTATTTTTCTTTAGTTATACATGTTAACTAGAATAGGCTCGAGATTTTACATGTTATTGAGAAAGCTCGTAAAAGAATCAGAAATTTTAAATAAAAATATTTTAACATATATTCAATAAAAATATACCATAATTTAAATAACTAAATAAATTTTACTGATAAATTTAAATGGCGGTCAATATATTTGATCGTTCTCTTTTATGATTTATTTTTTTAGAGATATATTTCATTTTATATACGTAAGAGATCTGAAAAAGTCATTGATTGTTGCAGTCTACTACTACATCATTCTTTCATGACAAAAGCATAACTCTAGGAAGCCTCATTGGAATTACAAGTATTTTAGAGTTTTCAAGAAGATCAACAAGAAGAAGAACAATTGTGGAAACCAAAATAAGGGATAATAACAACAACAAGAACAAGAAGAAGAAGAGTATTAATATTAATAGTAACAAATCAAGAACTTGGTTGTTTTCACTTTGCTCAAAATTAACTACTGATGCAGTTAACATAAATAGCATTAATTCTGCCCCATCTTTAGGCCATTTTCTTGAAGAAGAGAGAAAAGCAGCAGCTAATAATAACATTAATTATGGACTTGATGATTTTAATCAATTATTAGATCATGATCATTCAAATTTGAACAATAATTCATTGTTCATTAGTGGCCAGATTGCTCCTCCTCATGATAATGATGATGAGTCAAAAAAAGGGCTGTTTGAGCAAAATGATCAAAATGGTAATCATGGAAGTCCTTTAATTTTCTCATGCTTATGTGGACATTTAGTTCATTGACTAATTTTTAATTGTTTTGTAATTTTATTATTTATCATATTTTTGTTGTGTACTTGGGATAGAATATTAAATTTGGTTTAATAAAAGGTGATTCTTTATTTTGTTTTAATAGGGTGGGGGGGGGGGGGTCGGGACTTTGATTAATTTCCAATGTTATTGATCAATTTCAATTTACTAGTATATAAACATTTTAGTGTTATCATTAAATTTTATATAGATACTTAAATTATAACTCAAAATTCTTACAGAATTTATGCAAACAGAGGTATAAGTTCAGTTTCAGAATCAGCTATGTTTTCAAAAAAATAACTAAATCTGCAAAGTGTTAAAGAAGAAAAAATGCTTTAGGTGAACATATATCTATTTCTACTGACAAGAGACGGGTGATATTTTAGTAGGTAAATTAACACCCCGAAGTAGTGAAAGAATTTTTGTATTAAAGAAAAAGAACTTCAAGAGTGTCCACTTTCCTCTTCTTATTACTTTAGACAATGCTTCCGGAGCTAGACGGGAATAGCCTTCTACCTTCAAATCTTTTCAAAAGCAACTGAGTATTCAACTTTGAAAAGGAACTGATGTATACATAGGGAAAGCCGTGTATCAAAAGGAACTGATGTATACATAGGGAAAGCCGTGTGCGAACCCCTTGCCCTTTCTTATTGCTATTTGTGACATTGAGTGCTTAAGTAAGATCAACAATCTAGCAGGTCCTTGGACGCTGAACCTTAATAGTCTAGTCTACTCGAACCTCTACTAGGGCTAGACCTAGTCGGAAAAAGAAATTACTGGACAACACAAAAGTTCTCTCAACTTATGTCTTGAGAATTAGATACTATATACTCCCTCCATTTCAAAAGAATGCGTAGTTTGACTTTTTAATCTTGTGGTTCTAAATTAAAGTTATGTCAAATATATCAAAATGTTCTTTAATCTTGTGGTCTTAAACATATAACGTGAAAAGTTAAAGTTAAAATATTACCAAAAAAGGAAAGAGGTCATTTTTCTAAAGAAAATAGAGACTTTCTTTTTTAGACGGAAGGAGTACAAATTAGCCGACAAAGCAAAAGTTCTGTAACCATATGTCTTGCTATCGTTAACAATATTTTGGCCCACAAATTTTCATTTATGAGTTGCATGAGGAATATTGGAAGGTCATACTATTTAATTGGTAAACATTAAGTATCACTCCTAGAGGCAATCCGTAGAAAGAAAAACTTTATCAGATACTTACAACTCAAATTATGAAAAAAAAATAAAAATTGCACATGTTTTCAACAGCCTATTACATTAAAGTATGCCACATAAAACATTTCACATTATATAATCATACACATCAATCTTAATTGGAACATACCTAATATTTACAATTTATTAAGGTTAATGTATATCATTAAAAGAAGTGTCGTGATTAATTGATCTACTTCAAAGCATTTCAAAACATGTTTTCAAGTGTAGTCAAAATATTTATAGGAAGTGTCAAAATATTGTATGTACTCCTTTTTGTCGATTTTAATTGTCATCCTTGCTAAAAATAGTGAAATTTCAAGCTTCGCCACTGAAAAAAAAAAAGGGGATGGCATAACATTTTGTCTCAAAGATGGAATTACTACAAAAGTTCTTCAATCAACTGCCAGTATGCAGCAGCTTCATAATCTTACCCCTTTAATTTGTAAAGGGGTATACTTGAGCAACAATTGGAACAGCCCCCCCCCCCCCCCACCCCTCTCAAATAGTTATATAGATATACAATATATAAGGTATAACACGTCTCCTCGCCAGCTCGATTTAGACTTTTATTAGTCTAAATCTATGACTGAGTGAAGGATGTTCAAGATTTAATATATATATCAGAGAGGATAGACGAATAGTTACTATCGTCTTAAGGCTTAGCAAATACTTCAATGCGTTCAGCACTGATTTTGCCTGAATGGCGACAACCCAACTTACCAAATGAGGTTAAGGGTGACAAAACTTTCAAGCTGGTGTTGCTGCTGCTGCTGCTGCTGCTGTCGCCTTCAGCATGACTGAAAGACGTTCTTGATTTTCTTGGCCTCGAGGGACTTAATACCTCTTCATAAGTGTCGATTTTATTCTGGACAACGACTAAATGAGTGATATCACTCCGGCAAAAGGGGCATAAAGGAACCTTCTCACTATTGCTAGCTGGATTGGGTTTATTGTGGCAGCATAAGGCCAGAGTGCAATGAGCACACATCTGATGACCGCACTTTTGTATCTCAATCGTGCAAGCTTGCTCAAAGCAGATGCAACATAGCTCGAAATCACTGGCCTGTTTGGAAATGAAAAACACGGATTTGTTTAAAGCAGATTCGTGGTAAAGGTCAAATATAAATGCAGTACTTAAGCTCCACTATGTTCATCTATAATTAGTCCAGATGAGTTCTTAATGCATAACGATGATCACCGATTCAAATATGAAGCAAATTTATGACTCCCTGATTAGGGTCATACTGCTAAGGGGTGTGATATAGGCAACTTACTCTAAGCATAAGTGATTGATTTCATGGCTGAATCACACGGACTTTACCATCGCTCCAAAGCTCCCCATTCCGAATGCCTACACATTCTAATAAGATATCTCCCGAGACACCAGTTTTGTAAGTTCTTCAAAGGCAAACGATATCACTATATGAAGGATTTGTAGCAATTGCTACTAATATCACTCAACCCCACTTATGGGATTACACTGGGTATGTATGTTGATGTTGTTTGTATCCTCAACCACACCAGAAACGATTTGTACTGATATTCAAGGGTTTTGTACTAGCATTTACTTTTATATAACTAACTCCTATAACAACATCACCCCACTTCCCACTACATAATCACGCAACTTTTGACTGCCTTTGTCTTGCTCTTTTGCCCCTTCCAATATTACTCTCCATAGCCTCCTTGGTGGACTCTACATCAGCTCCCAACTCGTTCATCCAATCAGCAGGCTCATTTTCTGATTCTTGGTTCACAATATCAGTAGGTCGTAAACTAAAAATCAGAAAATGTACCTGCTGGCAAGTTGATTGCGGATGTGGAGTCCATGAAGGACAACAGGGTTGCATATAAGCAACAAATATACAACCCTATACGTAAAGCCATTTATTTATTCTCTAATGAAAGCTCTTTCATTGTACCGGGCAAAATTCTACTCATATCAACAATCTGCTGAACATATCAAAATATTTGAAAGCCCAGACAAACAAATGGAGCCGTCGATGCAGAATAGTTTTTTATAAAATTATTGCGCATGAGACTCGTTACCTCAAAGTCATCACTCTCGAGGCCAGAATCACAATGCGAAAGTGATATTTGTGAGACAGCTGTTTTTTCCAATATCAACTTCTCTCTATCTTTGTTGGCCTCGATCAGAGCATTTTCTAGTAAAGCTTTTGCCTCAGCATCAAGCTCAGTAATGAACTTTAAAGGTGCTGGCCAGGTTAAAGGCTCTGGAGATGATGGATTTAAAAGAGCAGCACATGCTTCATGCTTGTTCTTCAAAGCAACTATGTATGGAATTCGCCTGTATAGATCCGATTTACAACCGATAAGTTTCACATCAAAAGACAGATTAGTTGCAGAGAACTGAATAATACACGAAGGGTATGAGTCTATGAGCTCACCCAGAAGAATCTCTATAAAGTCGATCTGCACCCCAAGCAAGTAACTCACGTACACAGTCCAAAGAGCCTTCTCGAGCTGCTAAATGCAGTGGTGTACTTCCTGGACGGCTGCAAAATCTTAAATGTCAATTAAACTTCAACATACAGTAATTTAAGTAAAAGCAACTCGGAGAGTTTTAATACCCATAGCCACCACTAGAAGCACAGACAAGAGCCTCATTGCTTAGAAGAATCCGGACACATCCTGGTCTACCATGACGTGCTGCTAAATGCAATGGGGTTGCACCACTTCCATCTCTTATGTTCACAAATCTCGCAAATCCCCTGCACTCGAATTAATATATAGCAATTCATTAATAAAATAGCATAATGCACCTGATACTCAAATAGCGGACTTTGATAAGGAGACTGAAAAAAAAATCCCGGCCTTAGAGGTAAATCTCACTAAACTAGAGTTGTACACTTGACATAAAAAGCAAAGGAGAGCAGAGTCGAAGAAACTAGAAATTTACCAAGATTGAGCAACAGGAGCCGAATGAGCGGATGCAAGAATAGATTGTAGGCAGTCAGAGTGGCCATGGTAAGCAGCGTAATGCAAACAAGTTCTTCCATGTAGTGAATCAAACATTAAAATCTAAAAACATACGAAGAATTACCAATTAACAACCCATCTCAATCAGTCAAAGAAATTATCACAAACGAAATTCACATACATTAGCACCTAGCTGAATTAGCCTCTCCACGCAGGACACATTTCCATGCATAGCAGCTAACATTAATGGGGTCTGAAGCAATTCACAATCATACAAATCAAAACAGCAAGAAAACAAAACAAATTTCAATAATTATCTTTCCAAAATGCTACAAAGTTGACAATTTTTCAATCAAATGAACATCATAATGTGAAACTTGTTGAGAATTTGAATATACAATTGGCAAAATACACTAGGAACACATAAATCACAATTCACAACTACTACTAAATACCTGTTTGTGGCGATTCAAGATGTCTGGATTAACTCCGCGATCCAAAAGCATACACAGAACCTATCCAAAATCACTCATCAAAGATCAACAATCATTACAAACAAACAAAAAAAGTGAAAAACAAGACTGTAAAGACTACATCTTTTTTTCCTAACAAAAGGGTTGCTCGAATGATAAACACCTTCCACGTCCACCTCCCACTTTAAGGTGACATTACTCATCAAAGATCAAGAACCATTAAACACCCCACCCCACCTTTAAAAAAACAGGAAAAACCAAGATTCTAAAGACTAAATTTTTTTCCTGACAAAAGCAGTTGCTCGAATGATAAGCACCTTCACCTCCCATTCTAAGGTAACCATCACTCATCAAAGAGCAAGAACCATTAACACTCCACCTTTTTAAAAAAACCAGGAAAAAACAAGATAGTAAAGATTACATTTTTTTTCCTGACAAAAGGGGTTGCTCTAACGATAAGCACCTTCACCTCCCATTCTAAGGTGACCATCACTCATCAAAGATCAAGAACCATCAACACTCAAGATTGTAAAGACTACATTTTTATCTGACAAAAGGTGTTAGCTCAAATGATAAGCACCTCCACATCATTGATCTACCTTTAATTAATAAGAACAAAAAAACTAAACAAGAGGGGTTGCTCAATGTTAAGCACCCTCCACTATTCACTTCTAAGGTTATGCATTTGAGCTACCAATAAGCAAAAAGACTACATTTTTAGTCTGACAAAAGGGGTTGCTTGGATAGTAAGCTATTTCAAATTCCAAGGTTGTGGATTCCAATCACCAAGAAACCAATAAAGACTACATTTTTATTCAAGAAAATGAAAAACCAACCTCGATCTGGCCATTAACAGCAGCTACATGAAGTGCAGAAAGCTTCCCACGAAGAGTTTTCAGTCTAATCACATTTGGATTTTCATCAACCATAGCTTCAACTTTTTCAACCTCACCATTTTGGACTGCAATAAACAATCCATGTTCATTAGATTGCTGTCCACAGCTCAATTTCTGCCCCATCACCACCTCGCTGTTAGCATTGATAGTGAAGTAAACTCCCGGGGAGTGAATATCACGCGCCACCCACCACGGCGGAGGGGGGACGGTGGGGAGTGAAATTATGAGTAATGGAAAGTGTTAAAAAGTAAGGTAAAATGGTAATAAAAGGAGTAGTAACCTCGGAGTTTGTTCCTGCCCGGTAAGAATATGGGCAGCTGCCCGTTTCTGTTTGGTCAGAATAATTTTTAAAAAAAAGTGATTTTTTTTTTATTTATTACTTTTTGGACTTTACTTTTACTGGAGCTGAATACTATAGTATCAAGAATATACTGTTTCAATTATTGAAATAATGATAAATTAACGATAGATAAAATTTTATTATTAGTTAAAAAAATAGGCGGAGCCATTGGTTGTTGAAATTTTTACATGTATTTAATATAATTGAGAAGAAAATTTACATATTTTTTATTAATTTTGTAGTTTCGCCATCGTTAGGGATAGATTATTAAAAAAAAATCAATTAGTTAAGAGCTTCTTAGCAATATATTAACTAAAAATTATTGATAAACTATAGTGTATTTTAGTATTTAGATAATTAAGTATTGTCTCAGAGATTAGGCTTGGTGATAGTTTAACAATCGTAATTATTTTCTTTTTTTATCAGTAGTAATAACGGATTGTTATTGTTTCTTGTCTTATGGTTTATATTTGAAAAAAGTTTTGAAATATATTTGAATTTTGATTAAAATTATTGTAACGATATCAAATTTTGGAAAGGATATTTTGTTCCTGTACTATTTAATAAGATATTTTAAAGGTTTATATTTGTTCACGCGGACATAAAAAATATTGCATAATTATAAATAGTAATGTGTTCACGTGACACATACATATACTTTTAGAATACACTATTAAATAATGTAGGGGTAAAATGTCTTCCATAAAATTTGGTATCGTAACAGCAATTTCGATCAAAATTGAAATAATATTTTTCAGATCGTTTTCTCATTTATATTATTATTAATTACTTTTTATTATTGAATTATTTGTTGATATTGTTACTATTTCCTTTTAGAATATGACTTTGTTTTCCTCTATTTGTTTGGTATGTGTTAAACAAATCGATTTAACTATTTTTATCTTCTTAAAATAAAGATAAAAACTATATATATTAAAAAAAATTAGACTCCCAACTTGTGGAACGTATAAATATATTGATTAAACTTATTTGTATAGTGATTTGTTGTAATTAAATTAAAATAGTAAATGGTGGTAGGCACATGGGGATTATAAGAGATTAGAATTAATTCAGATCTCAACAATTTAAATTTTAAAATAGTTAATTCGATAAACCAAATGTCCAATTAATTAATTTACTTCCTCTGATTTATTATTGTTCTCTTTAATATATTAGTCTAAAATATTTATTTAAGAAAACTAATCTCAGACATTAAATTATTTTTTTCTAGTTTTAGTTTTTTTAATCCAGAAACCTAATATAGTCATTGCTCTAAAAAATTTATTACTTTTTCTTATTTCATGTATGGGCAACCATGCTCATTTATCCTACTTTATACTAAAAAACAAATGAATTTTCCCTTTAAATTCAACTCTTTATTTTATTGAAAATAAAATAATAAAGTTACTAAAAAAGCGCGCAATACAAGAGAACTTTGAATTACTTAGAGATTTTCCTAAGAGTTACTATAAAAATTTAAAGGGAAATATTTTCCGAATTCCTTATTGCCTCCAATGATTTCATATGCAACAATACTAAGATTTGAATTGAAGAATAGATTTTGAGAAAATAAATTTTTATTTATTTTTAAATGACGGATTCACACTTATAATACGATCGAGTCCCCTATTGATAAAAGTTAGAGTAATTATTCATGAGATCAGGGTTCAATTTAATTGAAGTCATTTCTCACTGATTCTTATTTAAAATAGTTGAAAAGATAATATTAATGTATCTAAGATATTTAAATTCAATGAGAATTTAACATATTTTTAATTAATAATTTTATAATAGATGACAAGATCAATTAACTATCATAATTAGAATCCTATACTTTTTTCTATTTTAGTCAAAATTATACGGCTATTAAAAGAGAATTTTGAAAACTAAAAAGTTGGCATAAGGGCTGCTTTACATTAGTCAAATTTGATCATATATTATTCAAAAAATAATAATAATTAGGAATAACACTTTTCTAATGATATTTTAAGCTAAAGAAAACGATATTTAGCAGTAACATTGACAAATTTTTTAATTAAATAAATATACGTGCTAATTGGATCAAGAAAAGTACACTTAATTACGTTGAAAGTTGGTCACCTCTTAGACCTAAATAGTACGTAATATTTGACAATTAATTTAAGCAATAAAACAGATATTTAATTAATAAGTCACGATAATATCATTATGGGGGACATATAATCGACATATTATATTATCCCAATGAATATGTTGAGTTTCTCGCTCGATGTGAAGTGGTTCAGATTTCTTTATATGATTTTAAATAATTTTAATTTTTTTGAGTTTATTTTTACAATTGAGTCGTTAGATTTTTGAATATTAAAAAAGTATCAAATGTATTCAAAATAGTATAAATTTTTCCTCCTTTTATAATTGGACCTCAATTATTCTTAACATTAATTTTTAGATTAAAAACAATAGGAATTATGTTTGATCGATAATACACATCAATGATATATTTGTAATACAATGGTGAATATACATAAACGATACTTTGAATTTGTAGAAATTTAATAGTGTCTATTATTTTAACATTATTATTTTATTTTTAAAATGTAGTGACTGCAGAATTATATATCGTTGAAGTAAAAAAAAATACGTGAAGTTCAACGAAAGACGATATATATATGAAATATTTTAAAGCGAATAGCTTATACTCATTACGACACTGCTATTAATTTTTCCTTTTTTACCAGTTGATTAAAAATATTAAATGTTAGTTTGATTATGGATATATTTTTCACTTTTTTTCAAAATATTATTTTGAAAAAATATAAGTATTTGAACATAAAATCATTATAATTTTCTATTTTGGAACATATAGAAATATGAAAAAATTTCAAAAAAAATTATTTTTACCATTTACATTCATATTCAAATAATTAAACGCCTAATAGAATCACTAAGTAATCACCAGACTTGCTGGTGAAGGCTTTTTTACTTTTCAAGAAGAAGAGAAGCAAATCCCCAAAATGACTATATTCTATCCTTTCGAATTATCTTTTCTCTTTTTTATTTCTCGGTACGATTAAATTTTGAATTCACGTCAAAAAGTGTGGAAATTCACACCTTGTTTGGATGATTGTTACCCATTGTATTGTATTGTATTGTATTGTAAGTTTAATAATGTTTGTTTTGATTGTTACTTAAAATCTATTGTATCGTATCCGTTAAATCAATAGTCAGGTAACAACGAAAAGACCTATATAACATTCGATTCGGCGTGATCTCATCGTTACGTTATTACTTTATTTTCATTTTATAGACCTATGTAACGACTGATTTGGTCGTCATTACTTTATTACTTAATTCTTACTTTATCTTCATTTATTATTTATAATCATATTTCATCATTTAGTCTATCTTTTCATACCAGATATCTTATAATACACTATATCTTTTTCTTTTTTAAAAAAAAATTATCATTCAAATCATACATACATATATACAAAATATAATATAATATGATACATTATAAAACGATACGTAACAACCGTCCAAACAAAAGTATAGTACTCCTTTGTCTTGTTTCTTTCTTTAGTTCCTCCACCCACCCCATATTTACGACTTATTTCAAATAGCAAGCTTCCTTTGTTTTTAAATTTACCTCTACTATCTAGTAGTCAAATAAAAATGAGTATACAAAATTTTTAAGTTTTCCTCACAATTTCAATTTGAATTTCATGTTAAACATAAACACCAATTTAAATTTTATTTTTTAATAAAAATTCCAACGTTCAAATCATATTTAAATTAAACTAACTCTGATTAAAATAGACTACTTTTAAATAGAAAATTAACAACACACTCAACAATAATAGAGTTATGAGTGTTAAAAAGATAGTAGATTATAGGTAGTGTACACATTTGGACAAACAAATAGGTCTATACATACATCAACAATGAAAGTATTTGTAGAGAGCAAGTAACTCATTTACATATAAAATGTTTGCGAATTTATGATTTCTAAAATATTTATATTATTAGAAAAAAAATATATAGTTAACGGAATTGATTCTTTAAATCCTTAAGATAAATAACTCAGTATTCTATAACATGTATTATTTAGTCTTATTATAACATAAGTATAACAATATATATATATATATTTCATGTGATATGTTATATATCGTTATAATAATTTAAACATATAATAAACTTTTCGAGAAAAATTCACGAATAATCTATGTCATTTCCCTTCTAAAGAAGTACATGAATGATGCATGTCTACTTCTAATAATTAAAGGTATGGTTCATTTAATTTGTCTTAATTCAAAGTGTTTCTCATATCATTCTCAACTACGTACTCAAAAGTCAAGATACACTATATTTTGTCCACTAGTTAGAAAAAAATATTACTTGTTTATTTTTCGAAAAAGTATAGCGGTTATTTTTATAGATATTTTATTGATTTGGTGAAAAATAATAATAATTGTACTTTCAGGTTAAAAGATTAGAAAGTTTTCTTATATTTTTGTGAGAATTTATTTTATATTATGTGATTTTCTAATGACATAATCAACTGCTTCTTTTCCTAACCCTAATTTTTATAGACAAAAAAGGCCAAAATTATAGGTAAAGGAGATTCTTTTTTCTTTTATAGTCAAAATGTTATAATTAAAGAAAAGAAAAGATAAGAATTATATTATTATTATTACTATAAGTTATATTAATTTTGAAATAGCTATATATAGCTACTATAGTGCTAATCACTATCAATGTTTGGAAAAAGTTTTGCTTCAATTGGTAAGATGGAATTCTT